TGTACAGTGCCAGTGCTTTTATTTTGAAAAAACACGAGTTTAGAGAATTCCCTTTCTAGATCCCAGGGCCCTTTTTTTGAAAATCTGACATAGTTTGATCAACAGAACCAAAAGTCATTTTATTTGCCTACGAAACACAGTTTGGGGGTTAATAGGATCAGAGTTACCCTGAAAGTAGCGTTATAGTTTCTATGTTGCAGAGGCTGTTAGGGTCCAAGAGACATAGATCTGATCGACCCTCTGAGTATCTTACCTCACAGAGATTTAAGAGTTGGGATTAATAACTATGAGAGGCTCTCTGCCCAGCATTGTACATCTGGATTCTGTCCTCTGCTTATTTTTGCACAGAGCTTTGCTTCTCAGTCCTAAAAGTGGCACGGTAAACTCATGCTGTGTTTCTCTCATACTTATTTAATACTCTGTGTTTCTGCTTCTTTTCGCTTTTCAGGGCAGCGTTTGTAAATCCACTGACGCCTGAAGGACCCGAGGAAGAACGACTCTTGCAGGAAGGCGAAGGTGAGAGCCGATGAAACAATCGCAGCTTTTATGAAGAGCGTAGTCTTTGCACGCTGATCTTTACGCTCACTCTCCTCCAGCTAACAAATCCCGCCGCGTGGAGCTGAGCACTGCGTCGCTGCTGAAGGTCGCTCCCACACAAGAGGAGAGGACGGTCGTTCACGGCCTTTTCCTCAACACCCTGGACACCAAGTACGACTGAAACATCACAGGATATCATGAGGATGTTATATTTGCTTCATATATTAAGATACACTCTGTTAAATCTCTGTGGATGTTTCTGCAGCACAGTCAGTTTCCGCAGCAGAATTCTGCCCCCAAACTCAGTGTGGATGGAAGATGCCAAACTGAAAGGACTGGAGATCTGCCATCCTCAGGTGAGAGGACGGATAAATAATAAGAAGGAGAATTTATTTCTACACTGAGGTTCATTTTAGGCTGTGAATATATGCAAGGTGTGATTTACGTAATGTATTTCTGGTCACTTTCCCACTGAAGATCATCTTCTCGTGCACCTCTAACTTGAATTCAGCCTTTTAAGTCTTCCCTGGAGATTAAACTGGAGCCTCTGGAGCTGTTTGTACCAAAGCAAGACAATGCGAGTCCACCCGATGTGCTGCTCTGTCATAGCCGGAGACTCGACTCTCTACATCAGCGATGTTCCTCCACATGAAAGACGGCTTATTTTGATCAACAGAAGTTTGAGGTTTGAAGTTCGTGGAGATAATAAAGAGCGTACAGTGCAAAGCTGAGGACTCAGGAACACGACTTTTAAGGATTCATGCTGGAAGCTGTGTAGACCAGAGGAGATGGTCTTAAAGGGGAGATTCCTAAAGCTTTTTGTATATATATGAACTCTTTACTTGGATATTTCCTTGAGTTGTGTTTCTTTTTTTCCTAAATACCAGCAGCTATGTTTACATGGGGGAAATGGATCTTTTGTGGTTTCCAGTTTCATTTATGTTCCCAGTTTAAACCCTAAATTATTTCAGCTGGAAAACTTAAAAAACCTGTTTCTGTGTTTGTGTTGACCAGGAGAGGAACATCTTTAACAGGATATTTGGAGGTTTTCTGATGAGGAAAGCTTACGAGCTCGGCTGGGCCAACGCCTGCTCCTACGGGTGAGACATTTAGACTAAAGGGTTAAAGAAACATTAAAGAATAACTGCTGTAAATGTTGTTGCTCCTTGCCGTGTGTTGCAGGGGTTGTCGGCCGAGTCTGGTGGCTGTCGATGATATCCTCTTCCAGAAACCTGTGGAGATTGGATCTTTGCTGATGCTCTCATCGCAGGTCAGAGCATCTTCTTTATAGGTGGACTACCTGTATGGCTTTCAGAGTTAGAGGCCAGCCAATGGAAAAAAAAAGGGAGGAGTTAGATTAAAAAAGTGAAATATTTCACTTGGAGCTGATGGAGACCAAAAATGGAGCTAAAGTAAAGTGATTGTCCTTTAAGAGGAATGTAAGATGATGTTTATTTGCCAACTTTTTACACCTACAGCACTTTTTGTAAAAAATTATATCATAGGAACTAGATGTTTTTTTTACATGTGTTTTTGTGACTGAGATTAGACCAAGAATGAAGATGTTTTGAACTGAATTATCGGAGGTCACCTCTACTGCTCCATATTCTTATACTTGGACTTTGCTAGAGAAGCTTTGGATGATTCAAAGTTCAAAATAATCCTGATTTTTCTGACACCTTGGAGCAGCCTCTCAGTGAATCCTGTCTCTAAAACTGGCCTTTTTAGCCCCGCCTCCTTTAATCGAACTTTCCTCTGATTGGCTAAACAAGAATTAAGCAACACGTTTCTCTGTCCACCTTTAATATGAGCATCCAGCACTGGAACAGGAGACACGAGACAAAAAATAAGGACAATAATTACATGAACAGGATAAATGACGTTTTCATGTCTTTTTTGTGCTTCGGCTGTTTGTGTCTTTGTTTTTCAGGTGTGTTACACTCAGGGGACGTACGTCCAGGTCAGAGTTCACAGCGAGGTGTTTGACCCGCTGACCCGACAGCACAACACCACCAACATCTTCCACTTCACCTTCACTTCAGACCGCGACGTCCCCAACATCATGCCCAAGACTTATGGAGGTGAGCCGGTGCAGACAGGAAACAGTTAAAAAAATAAATCTGATTTATATCCATGTCAGTAAGTTCCTTTCAGAATAAATCAAACAAACTTCCATGTTCAGTGCTGAAAGAAATCGACTATTAAAACGGTTGTTAAATGTTAATTTAGCTGCTGGTTGTTATGATCACGCGTTCGTTGATCGGCACTTCTCGCTTTGACTCACTCTTTTCTACTGAGACATTTACTGTGTCACGTTTTAAAAACTAGGAATAGTAGATGTTTCAGCAGCATTTTCAGCTTTTTTTCAGGTTTCCCAGACAACCTGTTGCAATTTTATTACTCACTGGGTGCAGCGTATGCTGGCAGGTTAATCTACAGGTGACCCATGATGTTAGCTCCTCCACAGCCACTGAATAAAAGCCAAACTTTAAAAACTTAAAAACAAATCCTGCACATAGAGTTGTTGATTAATCTGGGATTACAGATCTGACTTGTTCTGTATTCAAAGATCAAACTGAAAGGAAGGAGAACAGCTGTGTGTACTGATGTGGATGTTTTGTGTGTCTGACAGAGTCGATGCTGTACCTGGACGGAAAGAGACACTTTGACCAAACCGTGGCGTGCTGAGGCGTCGAACTGAAGCCTTTCAGCATCCAGATGCCGAGCTCCAAGTGTTTCCGTGTTGATGAGAATAATGAATGAATTTTAGGTTCTGACATGTTTTTATATAACGGTTTCTGAATTTTAAACAGCCCACAGGCACTTTGTTTGAATCTTGTTGCTTCAGTCGATCTGGAGGTTTACAAATTGATGTGTTTGGCGCACTACAGCAGATGCTTTTCCCCCCATGTTTCTCTATTTTATACTCTTATCATTTTTCCCACTTGTCAGTGTTACAGCCTCTCAACTGTAGAAAACGAGGTAAACACTCCAGCCCTTCTCATCATAACCTCATTCACTTCGACTCCTCGGTGTTACGATACAGCATGTTACGTTTTTATATCTCACTGTTGCTTACACGCACAAACAGCTTTTCTTTTTTACACTTTATTATGATGCTGCTGCAAAAAGAACAAGGGTGTCAATTCTCTGGCCTTAACTGGTGTATTTACTCGAATGCAATAAAAAAGTTTTATTTATCTCGGTGTTACAGTTGTTCCTGTGTGTTTGTTTTTATTTCATTCTGTACAGCTGACGCTCAATCACTGGTTAATTTTGCCACGTAAATATGAGAAACCAGAAGCTTTGCCTTGTTAACACACAGCAGCGTTTCTTATTTTGACATGTTTAACCTCTTGGTTTGCAGTAAATAATGTTTGTGACAACGGCCTGATGTATGTTACTTACCAACATTTCGGTAAAGATAACCACACCACACAACCAATGCTAGCTTTTTGATGACTTTTATTTTCTGTTTGTCATCTATGATCTGTAAAGTGCACAGCTAAGGAAACCTCAGAACAGGGTCAAAGCAAGAAAAATAACCAAATTTTTGGCTTTCAAAATAATCTGTTATTAAAAAATAATTTCCAAAACAAAAAAATAAAATAATGAACTATTTATTTAATCTATCGTTGAGTTGAGGCTGCAGGTCGAGCCAGGGTTTAAAATTAATTACTAACGTTTAACTTGTTAAAATAAATTACAATGATTAGCGATTAAGAGTAATAGTGGGGCGTAAACATGCCTCTCTAGTTGTCGTCTAGCTATAAATACCGAGCGGAACCAATGTTGTGTGGGACTGTGGGAGTCGGCGCCGTTTTCTGCGCGTACACTAACACGGAGCATCCTTCGTTAATCCTCTCCGGGCTCCGGTCGTCTCCGTGTGTAGCATGAAAACCATGTTAGCCATTATCTCTAACGCACTGTGCAGGATGACCGGCAGGAATGCGGTGAGTTTTCGGGGGTTGGTGTGGAAACGAAGGCCACGTTGTGTGCCGGGGCTGGTCCGCGCTAACCATTAGCTCGCCTTGTACTGTTTAGCTTGGAGGGGGGCTGACCTTGTTAGCGGCAGCTAACATTAGCACTGGTGGCTGGTTTGAGCTCTTATTTGCAGTTTGCATGTTGTGGTGAAAGAATGGGTTATTCATGCTCTCGTGTGATTGGCTGACTGGACGGAAGCATGCATGAATGCAGTGACATGGCTACAGTCGGGGTGCTAGCTCTTTACCTCTCTCTAACCCTGAATATGTTATGCCTCTGGTGGTCTGCCTTCCTCACACAGCACGGAGAGCTTGTACTGCCACGCAGGCGCTGATGTGATCAATACCGACCAGCATGGGCGCTTAAACACGGAAGGCGGGTGGACGAAATATTAGGAACATATTTGAAATG